AGATTAGCACCTTGCCAACACACTTACATTACCCATTTTTGGGGGAATTGAAATAGATTTGCTTTTTCTGACATGCTGCAGAGGAAGCATTTATTTTTAATTCATCACCCAACAGTGCCCTGTTACAGCAATGGTGAAGCCTGAAATCTTGGAATATTGGAGGTGATAATACCTGGAGCCTGCATACAAACAGCATATTCTTAAGTAGGGGTGTACCGATAAACATTTTCTTGGCTGATACCAGTGGCCGATTATTAACCAGCTGTTTCGTCCGATACCGATCCAATAGCCAATTTGCAGGAATGCAGCCTGGCATCTTGGAAAGCAGCCTCCTGCCAGTAAGTCTGTAGGGGGGAAGGGGAGGGGCATAGGGGGTGTGGCAGATGAAGGGCCTCACGGTGAGGGAGGGAGTGGGGCAGGCACAGGCGCTGTCCAGCCAGGGCAGTGACTGCAACCCTAGGGGCAGGATGGAGCTGCAGGTGGCTAGTCCTGGGGATGTAGAGAGGGGTGTGGTTCCCTGTCTCTGTATGGACCCCTGCCCCACTCCCTCCCTCACTGCGGGGGCCTCAATCTGCACACCCCCTCCCACACCTCTTCCTTCCCCCATGCCCCTTCCCCCCCACAGACTTACCAGCTGGATGCTGCTCTCCATGCTGCCTGGCTGCATTCCTGGCCGTGAGCATGCTGCATGCATGCAGCATTTATTACTGACCTTATTGGCTACACTGGCCAAAAAAAACTGATTGCCCATAATGTTAATTTTCCTTTTATTGGTGCTGATCCAATATGCCACCGATATATTGGTGCACCTCTATTCTTAAGTAGTTCTGCTCCATGCTATGGAAGGGGGTATTTCAGTCCCAGTGATTCTGGAATTTTTGTCTAATCCAGGGGTGTCAAGCTCATCTGGCCCCATGGGCTATATGAGTGGTGTGGAGCTGCCCCATAGGTCAGATGAATTCCATGGGGCCGGATTGGGCCCTTCCCCCCCATATGCCTGATCCAGCATGTGGCACCTGTCCCAGCAGGCCCATGCAGGGTCAGTCCAGGACACATGCCATACACAGCACCCACTCCTGCCAATCTGGGACCCACATGGTGTGTGCCCCAGGTCCTGCACATGGGGCTAGTCCATCATGCATCTTATATGGGTCAACTCTGAGACCCATATAGGGGGTCTAATCTGCTGTGGGCCAGATGATAGGGATCTGCAAGCTGCAACTTTGAAATCCCAGTCTAATCCTATGGCTGTATATTAGTGGAGTCATACTGTGGTTTTAGAAGGTGTATGTTTGCTTTCTATCTTAATTGTGTTTCAGCCTCTGTCTTCCTTTCTTGTGTGTAGTTTGGAGTGTACATAGATATTGCATATTGAGGTTACCCAGTAAAGCTTGTGTGTATAGGAATGAAGTCATTTTGCAGAGCCATCCATAAGGCAAGAGAACTCCAAAAGCAGCACTGTGCTCTTCTCTGACTTGCTTGCACAACTAATGCAAGAGAAAGGGTTTGTTCTTTCTGGTCTAAAAAGCCATCATGACCACAAATGGCCTGGTTGATAACCCACAAGCATCCCACACCCAGGGAGAGGCACACAATGATGGTCTCAGGCATGGTACAATCCTTGGTGGTACTAGATGCCTACCACTCTTTTGGTTTAGGTTCAGCAGAACCAGGGCCACCCACAACAGCCTTTTCTAAATGTTTATGGGAAACCACAAGCAATTCCAGCTTTGCTAGTTCCTCCAACAGTGCCCCACAGTCACTGAGTTGCCTTCCTAATTGAATTCAAGCATAAGTATACAATGAATATTTTGCTATCCCCGAGATAAGTTAGATCAATACATTAATAATCATGCAGTTCTAGTAAAGTGTTATCCAGTAGTTAACTTGACCTCACAGGCAAGGTGACACAAAATGTTCCTCATATTATTCAGTTTTGAGATTTTGAACTGTTGCATAGCGTTTCCATGATTATCATGCTGAGCACTATAGAAAAAGTGCTCTTGGATCCCAGAATGTACCATCCGAAGTGGAGATGGTGTGTGGACACCCCAAACTTGTGCTTCTTGGTTTGTTAAGAGAAGCCTCAGTTGAGGTGAACTGGTTGTTGAGAACCCACATACATGCTGATCTCTCTCTTCTTTTTTAACTTCTGTTTTTCTTTATTTTTCATCTTTTGTTGTGCTTTTCTCTCATCTAGTCTCCCCTCTACCTTGTCTGGTAGCTCTGCTTCCCAGCCCCAGTTCACATTCACTAAAGAGATGCATATATTTGGAGAGGGCACTCTGGCACCATCCAGGCTTAAGATGAGTGCCAGAAGGAGGACAACTGTCCCCACTTGCTGCAAACAGAAGGAGCAAAGCAATGGATTTAAATTGCACCAAAGTTGATTCAGATTAGATCCTAGGAAAAACTTTATTACTGTTAGCATACTACGGCACTGGAATAAGCTGCTGAGAAAACATGTGAAATCTCCAGTGAAGGAGGTCCTTGAAGAAGGCCAGAGAAGCATTGGACAGGGATGATTCAGGAGTAGCATTCCTGCATTTGTGCAAGGGGTTGGACAGTTATATTTCGCTTATCTAAACAACTGCCTGTCTTGGGGTGGAAACACTCTGCTAACTCATTGTAAACACAAGTGAGACAAAATCCTAGTCTTCTGGTGTCTTCTCCCTGGGACTGGGACACTGTAGTAGTTCATTTGCTAAACTATGGAAGTAGTTCATTTGCTAAACTGTTGTTGTTTCATGTGCAGGGAATTCCCAACGAAAGCTGGAGAGTGACCAAGATAAATGAACGCTATGAGCTGTGTGATACGTATCCTGCCACTCTTGTTGTGCCTGTAAATATTCCAGACGAGGAATTGAAGAGAGTGGCATCTTTTAGATCCAGGGGTCGCATACCAGTGAGTACGACAGAGAGGAGTTCTGATGTGGCTTTGTAAATACCTTTGTACCATGAATATTGCCAAGATCAGGTCGACAGGAGACCAACACAAACAGTTAATGGATTATAAAAACAAAGGCAAGACATTTTTTGAGGAGTTTAGAAGGCAGCAATGTCTGGCAAAACTCCTGTCTTGAAAGAGACATAGACTAAACCAAAGTGCAAAGATAAGATAATTCAGCTAAAGCCAGACAGTAATTCAGTTTAATTTCTGAGGTAACAAAATAAACCCTGCTAATTTATTTGCAGTTTTTTGTCTCTCCTGACCTATTTTTAAGGAGTAACTGAATACTTTTTACTTAAGTCATACATAGCTCTTGATGAAGACTCTTCATATCAGGTTATAAATAAAGCCTAGAGTAGTAATTGTCTTTAATAGTAACCAAAAGTATGCTGTTTGCTTTGCAGCTGTAAAAGATAAATTTGACCCAACAAGTTAACTGTTTAGATGAGAAATATAAAGCGAGAGTCAACTTGGGGGCAGGGGGAAAGTGGGTCTACATCACTCATGGAATTGAAAGGCACTAGATTAGCTGGGAAACAAGATGTATTCCATCCAAGAGTCAGGTTTAAACAAGTTCATACATCTTTACATTGGTTCCAATTTGAGGAGCTCATGGAGGAAAAAGAATAAATACAAGATAGTGCTGTCAATTAAATTACATCATGATTTATGTGATCCAAACCATTGGCCCCAAATCAAATACCAGGCAGAGTCCCAGAGTCAAGTAATGCCTAACTGAATTCTTCTTTTCTTTCCTAATATTTGTGAAAGGTATTGTCGTGGATTCATCCAGAAAGTCAAGCTACAATCACACGCTGCAGCCAGCCGATGGTTGGAGTGAGCGGGAAGCGAAGCAAAGATGATGAAAAGTATCTTCAGTCCATCATGGATTCCAACGCCCAGTCCCATAAGATTTTCATATTTGATGCAAGGCCTAGTGTTAATGCTGTTGCCAATAAGGTTAGACATTCTGTCCCTTGTTGGTAGCAGGGAATGGTACAATTCAGAGTTAGCCTACCGTTACCCTGTAACATTAACTCCTGACGCTGGAAGGGAAGGTGGGTTCTTGCTGTTATATGGAGTCCGATTTTAATTTTATTGGACCTCCAGGGAAGCATAAGCATCCACCTGCCTTAAGCCAACTGTAGGATCATGGCCTACGATTATAGTGGAAGAAAAGATAATCAAGCCTATCTGACAGGGTTTAAGAACAGGTATTGGTTGGGACATTATGGGTGCTTGCAGATGAAAAAAAACCAGAACAAAATGGCACTTTACTATAAACTTGGCACGTTCCCATGCCAAGCCCCACACATACCCAGAAGAGGCAGTGTGTTACTTCAACCCAGCTCATCCAACATAGGTAAAGATCAGATACTTTAGTGCAGCCTTTTTGGCACTTTTATCTAATAGCTTTGATTGAATGAGCTGTAGCTAGAATCACGAAAAAGCCCGACTGAAGCACCCAATCTTTACAGACGCTACAGAGCCAGGTTGAAGTAAGGGGCTGTTTCTTCCGGTAAAGCATTTTTTTAAATATCTGCAGGCAGCCTATGTTTAGCAATATAAAACAGGATTTTTAGCACCCTGAATTTGGGGTACCAGTTTCCAGTGCCCAGAGCCATGACTCTGATTTTCCAAGGTGTTCAGCATTCTCTGTAACCTCTGACTTTATCAGGGCCTGTGAATGCTTAATACTTTTGAAAATAGGGGCTAAGGGGTTTTGAATTGGGTCACTTTTGAATATTTGGTAGCCTGTGTCTTAGTTGTCAGTGGAATAACTCAGAATGTAGCCCTTTTCCCTAATGCTTTTTCATAGCATGTAGTAGATTGTGTAGCTTTGTTTTCATGCCAGAATTAGTTTGCTGCCTGGGCTCTGGACTTTTTCCAGCTATGTCTCCCCGTTTTTGAAAAGGCAGTTAGCCGTGGAGAAAATACAGCACTTCCTATATAATACTATAATGAAGTTGCCAGAGGGCAGAATTGTGGGTCTGATGAACTTGACAATTGAATGGATGTAAATGATGATTATGAAGAAATCTCCTTCAGTGGGATACTCTTTACTTTTTTTTCACAAAACACACTATTAAGGAGAAACTGTTTATGCAGAGAAAATATATTAAGACACTGGGCAAAAACAATTGTTTTCTTGAGTGTGATTTGAATAGGTGATATGAGTCTATTTTTTGCTCTTTATCATCCTTTTGATAATGTATTTTGATACTGTTTATCAAAATATTATTCTCCATCATCAGGTTGAACGATCATTAAGAAAAATATATTTGGTTTCCTATGGGTTTTGTTTTTCTTCCTCAGGCTAAAGGAGGAGGCTATGAAAGTGAGGATGCCTATCAGAATGCAGAATTAGTCTTCCTGGACATTCACAACATTCATGTTATGAGAGAATCATTGAGAAAACTGAAGGAGATTGTATATCCTAACATTGAGGAGACTCATTGGTTATCCAACCTGGAATCAACTCATTGGTTAGAACATATTAAGGTGTGCGTGTGGGCAATCAAATGTATCTGAGTTAGCACCTATTGTGTGTGTGTCTGTGTAATTGAAAAGAAGTGCCATTCAGTTGTCTGGGTCCCATATCTAGAGCTGGCCAAAGTGCAGGATTTCCAATTTGTGACAAATGTCAGGTTTTTTAAATCAGTTTTCATCCAAATCTTACCAAACTCACAAGTCCATAATGTGACCTGGAAATTTTGAAAAAGCAAAAGTCTTCAGGAAAGGCCTCAACATGGTGCTCCTGAGTATCATGTTTCTTGAGACCTCACAGCTGCTGAGAGCTAGTAGCAGCCAGGAAACTCGTATGAATGTTAGTGTCACTCAGCAATGACCAGCGTTCCTAGTATATGCCAAGTGCCACAGACTGCCCTGGGTCAGGGACTGCTGGATGTCAAGACCCCCTGCCCCAGTCTGGGGTATTCTACACAGCAAGGCTGCCCTGAACACAGACCTAATGGAAACCTCTCCCTGGGCTTACATTCCCAGCTCCAGAGAAGGGACCGTTGATAATCTGAGAGTCCCAGTTAAACCAAAGGTCCCAGTGTTGCCAGGCTTCCTGGTGCAAAGCCAAGTGCTGAATTCTAGCTGAGGCTTCCAGGGCTTTCAGACTCTCAGCACGGGCAGCATTGGGCTGGAAAGACCTGGCATGGCTGGCTACCCTGGAGCTGCAGACCCTGGAAGCTGTGGGGCCCCCAACAGCCTGTCATGAATACAGGCAGGGATGTATGGGAGCCTTGCCTCATTCACCAAAAATTTGTCAAACCCAAGACATTTTGGACAAAAATTTCAGATGCTATGAACTGGTGCTTATTAGTGAAACTCTCTTACTGAAAACCACTTCTAGTCTGCTTTGTCTTCCTATTAAAAAGTAGAGGATCCAATCTGCTCCTGGGACAGTTGTAAGGAAGGTGCTATTTTATGCCTTGTATTTGACTTGCAAAATAAGAACCACGCTGCCAGGAGTTCCACTGTAGTCAGCGAGGGGTCTGTGCGGCCAGTCACAGTGAGTGTTTCTCTATTGCCTCTAACCATGTGAGGGAGCACTGCTGTGAAAATGTGCCCTGCCCACTTGTATCCAGGCCCACCAGTTTGCAGAGCAGGTGGCTCCGTCGTCTTAAGCACATACCCTGACTCTGTACCAAGGTGCTCTGACTGGGGCACCCCCAGGACCGCTGTGAGCTGTCTTCACCGCTGATTTTCAGGGCTGGCTGGGGAGAAGCATATGGAGCTTTTCTCAGCAATGGACCGGATCCCACTCAGGAGATGGTGTAGACACATACCCTGTTGTTCCTCAGAAATTTCATATGGCATCTTCCTTTCCTTACTGTTTTACTTAATGTTCAGTAGAGGTTAGACTGAAGATATATTTTTGTCCTTTTATAGGAGGAAATGAATGAATTGTTTAGTCATTTTATCCTTTCCTGGTTTCTGTGACCTAGAAACTAGTTGTTTCATGCACACTTTTGCTTGATTTGGCCTGCAATGTTTATCTTAGGTTGTCATTTCACTGTGAAAATCAAAGAGGGTTTCTCCTCCTCTGAGAATAATCTCTGGATATGGGTGTATGTTAGACACCTGCATTAAGTAAGGGTATCTGGGGGCTTTAGTGTCTAGGAAAGTTTAATGTCTAAAATGGAAAGTTATAAGCCATCCTTTTGGGAGGAGTCAAACACAGTTATTCGTCATAAAATGGGTTGTGCTTCCAATCAGTGTTTTTGGTAAAATTTGAGTACAGTACCTGCATATGCAAGTGTAGCATATTCAGGCAGACTGCCTGAAGTTATGCACTTATAGTGGAAATAGGGTGATAAGGAACTTTTCCTAACTTGCCAATATCGTTCTTTCTGGGTGAGATATAACCAGTTTAGTTCCTCTCATGGATGCTACAGCTGTTACTGTAACTGACTGCAGCAGTTAAAATTGACATGGTTAAAAAAGGATTATGACTGTCATGTAGATGGGACCCAATTGTGTTCCAATAAGTAGGTTAAACCCTGGACTACCCAAGGATAGCAGCTGTGAAATCGGCTGCAGGAATCTACAGGGGCCTTTCAAAATCCGCCCTACGATTGTAACCTCACTGAAGCGGGTGATAACCATGTTATAACCACGGAGCAGATGTGACCCTTGCCTTTTCCAGAGGTGTCACAGCACTCCATTTATAGTTCATATGATATGGGGAAACTTCCTTAATGCCTTTTCTGTGTCCCAGCTAATTCTTGCTGGAGCCCTTCGGATTGCTGATAAGGTGGAATCGGGGAAGACATCCGTGGTTGTGCACTGCAGTGACGGCTGGGACCGAACAGCCCAGCTCACTTCTCTGTCCATGCTCATGCTGGATGGCTATTATCGAACGATAAGGGGATTTGAAGTACTTGTGGAGAAGGAATGGCTGAGTTTTGGGCACAGATTTCAGCTGGTGAGTTTAGTCTTTTGTGGTTGGAAAAGGTTGCATGTTACATGGTCAGAGTGGCAATACTGTTTAGTAACACTTGTCTGATCACATCTGAGCTCACAGAGGAAGGGCAAACACCAATAACATTCACCTTGTCATGATATATTCTTCATTGATGGCTCCTCATCCTTTATTATGCAAGCCATTAGTGGCAGGTAGGGTAAGAGCAAGGGGTTCCAGGCTCTAATACTTGTCTAAGCAGGGGTGCTCAATGCCAGGCCTGTAGGCCAGCTATAGCCTGCAGAGCCCTGGCATCCAGCCTCTGAGGTTCTCCATGTATTGGCAGGGGAGTGGTGGCAATTAATACTGCCACTTCTTCCCTGCTGCCAAATTACCATGCCCTGCACAGCCTAATTGGTATAGGAGACACTTTCCCTCACATACACTCTCCCAGAATGGCCCCCACGTGTAACTGGATTGGAGCCAGACTACCCGCCCCTGTGTGTGGCTGGATTGGGGCCACGCTTACCCCCCACAATGCAGTTGGAGTGGGCCCAGGCACCGCCTGTCCTATGCCCCAGATCTGGCCCCACTGCCCATCCAGACTGCAGGGCAAAAATGTTGGGCACTATTGGTCTATAGCATTCATTTTCCACCTAACCATGACCAAGTCACTTACTAGGTTTCCAATTTGCATGTTGAAGTGACACTGTTCCCCCATTTTGTAGATAGGGAGAGTGAGGCAGTGAGCAATTGAGGCTCTGATTCAGCAAAACCACTTAGCTACCACTAAGTGGTTATAGTAAGCATATGAGTGGCCCCATAAGCAGCAGTACAAGGTAGTATTGTTACTAGTCTGCTTCTATGAGGGTGATACTCCCCCTCTATGCGGCACTGGTCAGGCCGCAGCTGGAGTACTGCGTCCAGTTCTGGGCACCGCACTGTAGGAGGGATGTGGACAACATGGAGAGGGTCCAGAGGAGGGCCACTTGCATGATCAGGGGGCAGCAGGGCAGGCCTTACGAGGACAGGCTATGGGACCTGAAGCTGTTCAGCCTCCACAAGAGAAGGCTGAAGGGGGATCTAGTGGCCTGTTACAAACTAGTCAGGGGATCAGCAGGCATTGGGGAAGTCCCTGTTCCCTCAAGCACTACCAGGAGTGACTAGCAATAATGGTCACAAGCTGGCAGAGGGTTAATTCAGATTAGACCTCAGGAGGCACTACTTCACTGTCAGGGCGGCTAGGACCTGGAACCAACTTCCAAGCGAAGTGGTGCTGGCTCCTACCCTGGGGGTCTTTAAGACAAGGCTAGGCAATCACCTTGCTGGGGTCGTTTTACCCCACTACTCTTTCCTGCCATGGTAGGGGGTCGGACTTGATGACCTGCTCAGGTCCCTTCCGACCCTACTAACTATGAAACTATTTTATGTTTGTATAGTGTCTCACAGCATAGGAAGTCTTAGGTCTTACAGTAATACAAAAAACAAATAATTGGAGAATGGGTGGCTTGTCCAAGGCCACCCACAGCAAGGCTGGTGTTAAAGGCCTTCAGCTACAAATACTTTAATGACCATGATCCACCCCAAGGGAGGAGTACTGTGCACTCGTCTGGACCTGTAGGGGGTGAACCAGAAAAGCCAAGGTTGTGACTGAACTCCAACTGGTTACACATATTAAGGACAATAAAAAGTCCAGAGGAAAAGCAAGGGTAACATTGGACCCCTGCTAAACCATATGGGTCAACTGACAACTGGCCCCCAGGAAAAAGCCAGCCTGCTCAAGGGTATTTTGCGTCTGTTTTTCACCAGCCCCCAGGGACAGCCCTGCTCAATACGGTATGGGATGGCCAGGGTGAGGGAGAACTGTTACCCTTCATCAGTGTTGACCATGTGAAGAAACACCTTGAGAGACTGGACACCTTTAAGTCAGCTGGCCCAGACAGCTTACACCCCTAGGTACTTAAGGAGCTGGATAGCATCCTAGCTCGGCCACTGGCATAGATCTTGGAGAACTCCTGGTGCTTAGGTGAAGTGCCCAAAGATTGGAAGAAGGCCAGTGTAGTGCCTATTTTCAAGAAAGGGAGGAAAGTAGATCCGGGGAACTACAGGCCCATCAGCCTGACCTCCATCCCTGGGAAGATCTTGGAGAAATTCATCAAAGAGACCATTCTTGATAAACTTGATAAACTGGCTGAAGGCAACTTCTTGAGGGACAGCCAGCACGAGTTTGTTGCAGGTAGGTCTTGCCTGACCAATCTCATCTCCTTTTACAACCAGGTGACATATCACCTGGACAAGGGAGAATAGATTGATGTCATATATCTCGACTTTAAAAAAGCTTCTGATCTGGTATCCTGTGATCCTCTTATAGAAAAACTGGCCAATTGCGGCCTCGGCTACATCACAGTCCGCTGGCTGGGGAATTGCCTTTGAGGTCAGACCCAGAGAGTGTTAGTTGACGGAAGTCAATCGTTGTGGTACACTGTGACCAGTGGGGTCCCCCAAGGCTCTGTCCTTGGGC